TCGATTCCTGTTCAAAAGTAAGTCCAATTACAAGGCCCTTTTATCGCAATTTTTATTGGAATTTAACCTGTAATTTTACTTACTGGTCTCTTGTTAGTCTGGGTAAAAAGCTTTATACCTGCTAGCTGTGTCTTTTAGCTCGAGCTGAGTACTCATACTAGCCTGTGTTTATACCCTTGTATATAATTATGAACAAATTCAAAGTTTTGGACATTAAATCGATGGAATCCTCCAATGATCGGATCGACCCTTTATTTTTCGGTTCAGAAATATGTAGATCTTTTTTCAACTTTCCCATAGATTTTACAAAGATAGGATAGATAGGTTTCTAACACTTGACAAAGTTTGAACTGAAGTTCCGACAACATAAATAAATTCGTAAAAATTTCACGCCTGAAAACCGAATATAAACGAAATGAATGATGAGGTTAAGAATTTGTTAGATTTGTGAAAGTTCTATATTCAAGTGATAAAAATTTTCGGTTTTTAGGCGTGTATTTTTTAAGAATTAATTTATGTTGTCGGAACTTTAGTTTCAGCCATTTTGAAATAAACTATCGATGACCGGATCGGTTAAGCAGAACTGAAGATAAAAAATTAAATTGGCATGAAAACAGGTGAAAAACACTATTAAGACTTTAAAAAATGGGTATCAGGGAGTCCATTCAGACCGGAAAATCAAGGTTTGATCTCTGGGGGCATTCATCGATTTAATTTTGTAGGCCAGTGTAACCGACTCAACTGTTGCTCATCATTATGAGTAATGCGTTACAACTATCAAACCAAAACTTTAAGGGTGTACAAAATAAAGCTTAAATTCTGGATTTATACATAGTATAATTTTACTTAAATGTAGCTGCCAAGAGAAAAGAAGTTTTTTTACTTTGCATATGCATACCGAGATTTCAGAAGTTTGCGAACGTTAAAGTACAAGTAAAAGTTACGCAGTGTTTCACCAAAGATTAACATTAATAAATTATAAGCTTTTCTGTTCCTCTTAAAGGTATTTCCTAAGAGTTTTTGATTCAGTATTAATTCAGTATTAAATGTCGTGTGGTACAATGTTGACAAATTGAGAATGCGAAAGAATGTCAGCATTTGAGGAATCAGGGCTTTCATTCAAGCAAATCTTAAAAAAAAGTTAATAAGTAATTTTTTTAAGAATCCAGTAGGTCATAGGAAGCAACGAATAATTATAAAAAATTGCTTAAACACCATAGCAGGTTATGTGACAGATCCCGCCCTCTATTAAAAAGTAACATTTTTATGCTCCTGATAGCTGAAAATACTACTAGAAAGATTTTCGAAAAGATCCTCTTTATTTTTCTAAGCTGCTCCTTCTCGAAAACACACTTGATTTAAAGCTTACATCATGGAAAAACAGCACCAACTACATACAGTCGTAATACCTTTTTTTGAGTATACTAGAGAAGAACCTTTATACTCCTACGGGATAACGTTTTTGTTAGCAATGCAACCGAAACGCTGTTTGGCCAATTGTTATGTTTTAAAAAAGACAGGCCTGTTCAGTTCAGTGTAGGTAACACTGAAGAGCTTTAAATTGAATTCTAGGCGAATGGGAAAAACTCAATGTTACCTTAACTAAAATAAAATATCAAAATCGAGCTAAGGAAGCTCTCATTAACTATAAAGAAACTTTAAACTACAAAATATCGTTTACAACGATATTGTAAAAGGCTAATATGTCTTTTAACACTGTGCAATACATAAATTTTGTACCCATTTTTGAAAGTTGCTTGCTGAAAGTACTTGCAAAAACTAGAAATTCTGCATCATTACTTTTGCCGAATTGGTTCGGGCTTATACTTTATGTTATTATCCATTTTTGTTGCTTAAACTGCATTTGGAAACGTTATTTGTCATTTTGATGGCATTTCGTATTTGTTTCTTCAGCAAACTTGTAAATATCTAAAGGGGAAAATGCAAGGCAAATCTACCTAATTTATTTTCTTGTAATTCTTTTTTTACATTGTCAAAATGTCAATAAACAACATATAAAAAAAATGTACGTTAAAAATGTTTTTCATTTTTTTTTACCAAATGCCAAAAATTTAATAGGTGTTAGTAATCAAAACAAAAACGATCTTATATAATTTATAATAATTAATTAATTAATTTTCAGGAGGTTTTGATACTATTTGATCTGATTCTTGTGATAAGCGAAAGCTCAAATATATTAAGAGCAACTTTACGAGGGCCAACTTTAAATACTAAAGCTCCCAGCTTCCAGATTAAATAGAAAAATCAAAAATAAATTAAAAACTAGAAAGAGCGCTATAGTCGAGTTCCCCGACTATTAGAAACCCGTTACTCAGCCAACAAATTTCAAAATAAATATTTCACCGCACAACAACCGGAGTTTTGGTGGCGCCATCTATCGAACTGTATAGCCAACACCAGAAGCTAGGAGCGTGCCGCTCCCCCACCCCCCGCTGACAGTTCTTTCGTTGTCTCTTTCGTTTTGTCTCTTTCTACATCAGCGATTAACTGCCGAGCAGCGGCAGAGCGGCGGCAGTGGACATAATAACCCTTTAACTTCTAAAATAAAAGCTTGATTTTGTGTCTACTGATAGATATGACCAAAACACACGTACAGATTACACATCTCAGAGTGACGGAACAAACGTGTTTAGTGTTTCTCGATTTGTGGGCGTTGCAGTGTGCGTGGCTGCGTTTTGAAATAAACTTGCGCCGTGTAAGAAATACTAGTATCTGCATTTCAAATCCCAAATCTATAGCTTTTATAGTATTCGAGATCTCGACGTTCATACAGAAGGACAGACAGACGGACATAACTAGATCGACACGGCTACTGATCCTGATCAAGAATAGATATATTTTACATTACGATATACCCTTATACTCTACGAGTCACGAGTATAAAAATTACATTGTTTCTGACATACAAATAATCAAACAATTTATGGAAAGTCGACTTAACGTCATTGTTTTTCGGTGTTTTGTCTTTTTTTTTGTCGTTTAAATTGCCGCAACACTCGTAAGTGCCGAGGAGTTATTTGAACGCCCTCGCGTACGTGGAAATCGCCAAGCTATGGTGTTATATCATAAAAATAGAAATAAGTCGTTTTATAGAATATTTCATTTTTATAACAGCGGCAATGGTATAAACCTTAACTTTCTTGATTTTCGCTGACTTTGGACAATCGAAGAATGTGTTGAAAAAAGTTACATTCTGAAAAACATTCATTCATTATTTTCCTGAATCAGTTAAACAAAAAAAGGGTACAAACAATTTTTTAATCATAAGGGGATTGAGCTTTTCTCAAAGTTACAGTCGAACTATGCTATATTCTTATACTCACTAGCCGTTAGTGCATATGCGGTGGGATTAATCTGCAATTTGCAATTTTTCATCGGAATTTAATGGTATAACATAACCCTATTAACAAATGTTTTAGTACCCTAAGTATCTAAGTTATATAAAAATCAAAAGCTAAATTTAAGTATAAAGGTACTCCAAAAGAACCGATTTCACGATTTTTTAAGTCGAAATAGGATAATACAGTTTTGGTTTGCTTAAGCTGACTTTCTTTTATACCGAAGGGACAGGCAGACTTTTGCTCGACTTCAATTTAATTACATTTTTATATAGTTCAATTTATATTAACTTACATCATAAGACCGTGTTTTACATTATCAATGTTAGGAATTCCCTTACAATTTAAGCCCGTTTTCTTGTCTTAATACTAAGACACGAGAAAACGTGCCTTAAAATAATGAAATCCCCACTGCATTTGCTGGCTTACATAAGTGAACAAGGCTTTTATATAGTTAGGCAAACACGACTCTTTCAAATTGTCTACTAAAAAGTGCTACCTCTTGTTAATTTTACACAAGACATCTGTGAATTATAACCATCTGGGTGGGATCTGACTGCGGTTGCAGATTTGATCAAAAGCTCTTGAACAGTCCATTTGAGAAATGTTTCAACTTGTTTCATGGTACTTGAAAATGTTTTTTTATCTTTGCTCTTGGTTTTGGGCAGAGAGCTCGCAAATAACCGCTTTTGAAACACAGTCTGCACACCGGCAAAACAAAAGAAAGGTTGGACACACGATCTCAATATCGTTTCGAAAAACACATTTTCTATACGCTTAATAAAAGATGCCCGAAGCACGAAGCACAGAAACCCAATCATTTTTATCTGGCAGCTATTTCCAAGCCAATACAAAACTATTATCTAGACAATATTATGAAATATTTAATAAAGAATAATTATGAATTACAATCTTATAAATGTACATATGATACTATACCCTCCCCCTCTTAAATTAAAAAAAAAAAATAAAAAGCATGAAAATGGGAGCAATACGTTATATTCTGATCTATTTTTTGATTCTGCGATCAGATTAATTATAAATAAATTATGTTTAAAACGACACTTGCCAGGAGAACAAAAACAATTGGGTCAAAAACAATACTGTTGAGCTAAAACACTTTTAAATGCGTTTGTTCACGGTCACTTGCGAGCTCTGGTTTTAAATGGTTTTGGAAAAGCCAGTTATACTATGGATTTTTGGAAAAGGTGTCCTTGCCAAAATTGAAATTATGCTGTGTGATATCAGTGCAGATCCGACTTTCCCTACATACTGATATAAAGTGCTTAAGTAGTATTTATGAAACAGAAATACGTGGGTTACATTATTATAAAGATACATTCTGTATTAACTATATATTTACAGTAGCAAACATAAATACAAATATAAATTTTCAACAAGGAACTGTGTTTTTTTCACACACACGAAACGCATATATGAATGTTTTGCAGGGACAACTCCAATAGTGGGTGTCAATTAATGCATTTTAACTTAAGGAAAACACAAGAAATGTCTCGTCGATGTCAGAGTGCGAGTGAAATCAAAACATAATTTAGAAAAATTAGGTTAGGGATGATTACGTTTTTTTTTTATAAAAACACTGTCTAGCTGCCAATACATAAAATTATAGACAATTCTTACCGGTACTGAAATCTGGTCGTTTGCGCGTGAGTTTTCAAATACAATTAATGATGGTAATGACACAGGTCAATACGTACAACAATTATTGTTTAATTTGTATTTTTTTTTATTTATGTTTTTTATTATATATTTCATTTTGTAGTTATTTAATAGGTTATTATAGTCATAGATAATGTTATAGGTTGATTCAATCGGGAATAGGAAAGCAATTAGCGTTTTAAAAGGACGAAAAATATTAAATTAATATTAGAAGAATTTGCATTATTTCTTGCTCGGTGTTCAAATTAATATTTTGTAGGTTTGTGGATTTTGTATTTCTTTACTGCAGCACAAATATATTTTACAAATTTTTGGAAAAAAAGTGTGAGAGCTCATCTTGGACACTAGTTCAAAAAAAAGTGTTAAGTAGTGAAGCAGATCTAAGTAAATTACTTTGATATACACCTCTAGTCTAACGTTCACCATATTATTTTTATATAATGTTTAACCATTAGCCTCTTTATGATCTGTTGGTGAAGTTGGGACACCTAGTTGCGAAAACTTAATTTAAAAATATTGCATTCAAATATGTTAAATATATATGACATTATTAAATACAAACTACATACTACTTAATCAATACTGTTAACAACCGGTCCAACTACATCAAAAAATCATAAAGAAATTTGCAAAGTTTTTGTTTATTTATTTTACTGAAGTGCTTCATTCTCTGCTCAGTTGAAACCTTTGAAAGTATATTAAACTTGTTTAAATGGATTGCGATTGCCATTGTTATAAGCTTAAACAAATAAAACTGCTATAGTCAAGGTAAATTAACCAGGTACTCTAGTTAAGAGGGTTTTTTAAATTGTTTTTCGATTTTTGTAATATTGTATTATATCTTAAGACGGTTGTGTCTAAAATTTAAGTCGATCGGAAAAAATTTGAAGAAGGTATGGGCTATTTTTGTAGCTAAACTAGTCCAAGTGTACCATATTAAAAATCATTTTTAAGCGTTTTCCCAAAAGTCTCGATTTTACTACCGCACCGATAGTTTTACACAATTTCTTCACATTACCGACAAGGTCACGTTGTTAAGTTTTTTTTCTTTCGAATTTTTATGTGAAAATACAAAATGAACAGATTTTTCGCTAAAAACCGAGTTTTCCGATTGTTCCCATAAAGTGACAAATTTAAATTTATTTATCTGGGGCAATCAATTATCTAAAGATATAATTTTGATTTCGAGCGAAGTTTATATACCCTTGCAGATATTGCTTAATTTATATATTCTTTAAAACATCTAAAATTCAAGTTGATTGTTTGTCTAAAAGCATTGAGCTATGTCGATTATAAGCTCAATTATTCGATCGTTCCTATGGCAGCTTTATGATACCGTTTTCCAATATTACCCCATTACTACGTGCAAAAGAGTGTTATGCAAAATTTAAGAACAGGAAAGTTACATTTTTTTTATATATATTTTAATGAAATTAAAACTAATTCTGAAATTAAAAGTCATTACTATATAATATATATATATATATTATATATATATATATGTATATGTTAAAGAGCTAAAAAATTCCTAGTCGGACGAACACTCGTTTATACGCAAACTAGTCTCTCAGTTTCAAAGCTAATGGCATGAAACTTTTCCAAACGTTGTGTTTCTAATTCAGGTCGGAAATAGCCGAATCGGGCGACTATAGCATATAGCTCCCATAGAAACAATCGGAAAAAATTGAACAATATAACTTTGCTATTTTTCAATTTTATAGTTAGTTAGTTAGTTTAATAGTTCTTCGATTTTGGATGTTTAAATGTGATAAAAATCGGACGAATCCATATATTAAAAATATAAATAAAAAAATATTAAAACTTCTTTAGTTTTCTATTTCATTTTTTGAAGTTCTTTTTCGAGATTGGAATGGTTTAATAATTCAGAATTTCGCTTTTAATTTTATTTAAATCGGGAAACTTTGTCGATGCAAGGGTATATATACTTTGCCTTGCCAAAGGTGGCTTCCTTCCTTGTTTTATTTATTATCCGGTTGTTCCCATTGGAGCTATATGATATACAAGTAGTTGTTCGATTTTGATCATATTTAAAGTCTTATTCAAAATTATTACTAAATAGCAAGAAAGGAAGCAAACTTCGGCAAGCCGAAGTTCTATACTCTTGCAGCTATTGCAAAAATTAAATATTCTTGAAAACATTAAAATAATGATTAACTAGCGTAAATGTTTAAAAACATGATGATGATGAGGAATTGCCGCTCAGTTCGATAGTTCGTATGACAGGTATATGATATCTTTTTCCGATTTAAATAAAATTAAAAGCGTTATTCTGAACTGTCAAATTATTAAATTATTAATTATTTATTAGCCAAAAAGAATTAAAGAATTAATTAATTAATAAATAAAAAAGTTAAATTTAAAAAAAAAGGTTTTTAATATTAATATTGTTCCCGTGGGAGCTATATGATATAGTCGTCCGATTTTTATGAAATTTAAACCGTAACTCTGAAATATTTAACCATTACTATATGTCGAACAACTAAAAAAAAAATTAAAAAACAGCTAAGTCATAATTTTTTTCAATTCCTTTTCCGATTGTTCCTATGGGAGCTATGTGCTATAGTCGTCCGATATATATACTACCTGCAATAGCAACGCAATGGTTCATACCTTTAACAAAAACTGTGTGCATTTTTAGGCTTTGCATCATAACGAATGAACGACTGATCGATCGTATGTATGCAAAATTTTGTTATAGCCTGATTCCATTGGCGCATTAGCATTAAGCTAATGCTACTCCGGCATGTGAGTGTACGAACACCTGATCTGGGTTTGTTTACTTTTCAATTTTGGCAAATCCAAAAGAAATTTATCAAAATTAATGAACATGAGTGAGTTTACTAAACTCTGTAATGCTCAGCAGGACATCCATATTGCGACCAAGACATTTGCCAACTTGGACGAGAAGGAGAGAAGCTGATTGCGTTGTTATGAGGGGTTTGCAATGGAGACCACCAAAGTTTCCAAAAAGGGCTAGGATCCCCATATATGTGGGAGTTATTTTATGCCAGAGATCCAGCAGTAATGCATTGTGTTACTGCGAGCAGAATTCGCAACGTGCGTCCTAGGTTTGAGTCATTTTTATACAAAATAGATGTTATATTCAAAAGCCATCAAAAATTGCGCCAACCTTGCATATAGAAAACAGCTGTTGTAGTCATGGCACGAACAAAATATCGTAAAACATCGGTATTTTCCTGTATTTTTTCTAAAAACGTTCGTGCCGAATGGTTTTTAATCGCATTTAATAATCGCCTTATGGGATTCCCTGTGTATTTGTTCATTAGACTAAATGCGTTTTAATGCGCCAATGGAATCAGGCTATTAGACGTTGCCGATCTCTGGTCTGTATAAACAATAATACATTTTGTAGTTAGAGAACTCAAAAGAAAAAAATCCTGACAGTTTTGAACATACCGATAGTTTCCTATATATTCATGTTGATAACCTACTGCATTCATAGTAAATGCTTATCATAACTTTTATAAACGTATACATATGAATACAATAAAATGCAAATAAGTGAATTAAGTACCGGTTAGTTTCTTATTGCTGATGCACTTGACTATAGCGTTCTGTAAAACAAATTTATCTGATTAACTGGGTCGACCTTTTTGCATGCATTTTAAGACCCTAAGCTACAAAAAACATACATTTAACATTTTACAAGTTTTTTTTTTGAATTTGTTGTTAAAGAAATCTCATTCAACCACGTTCCAACCGAAAATGAATTAAATTCGGTCGGAAAATATGGTTTAAAAGATGTTTTTACCTCAAATAAAAGATACCTTTCATTAGCTTATATTTAAGATTGATTGGAACATATTTTATTGCTCATTTTTGATTTCAGGGTTCCAAAATACATTAAGGAACGGTGATAAAATTGATTAAATATTAATGACCAGTGTATTAATGAAGGAAGGCAAGTTTACTACCCAAAACATCTAATACTGTAGATTGTGGCAAAAATATAATTTAGCACACCGAAGTTTGTATAGAAGCATTTTAAGTCAAATCTGTTTAAATCAATGGACCAGATTGTATGTATATTGTTCTTTTTTATCTTGAAAAAAAACGAATTAAAGCAACCAAAATTTAAGAATTATATATCAGATGTGAGCTACATTTGTCCGATTTTAAAAAAATTTAAACTATTTTCCTCAAACATATAAAACAAAAATAAGAATAATAATACTTGAAAATTCATAGAAACAGTCGGTCGCTCAATAAAACATTCGGACGCTCATTCTTTTTTTTTTAATTAAAACATATGATTTTTGATTAACTTATAAAACTTTTTTCTCAAAATGCCATTTTTTTTTTTGTAGGGCTCAACTCCACCAATAAATTTTAATAGTGTTCAATTTGTAAGTTAGCCAACATAAAAGTATTCCTGTTCTTAACATTAGTATTATATATATAAAAGATTGAGGTATATAGTTGGATGAGTGATGGTGAGCCAAATTAAAAATTGGCTAAAGGCCTCAGAAGGCTATATACAGTATCGGCTTTCCGAAAACGGAAATAAATGAGCGACACACTTTCTTTTTGTTTACTGAAATCTTACATGCACGTGGTAAACAAAGCTAATTTTAATTTTAAAAGACTGTTTTCGCAGCTATAAAAAGTAATAAGAAAAAATATTTAAGAGAAGTACCACAATGGCATCTTACTATATATCGATCAATTGTTTAATAATATATATTTGAGACATGAAAGTTGTAGAAAAATAACACAAATTAGGTAACTCAGGTCAGAGATCGACACATTTATTCAACTAATCTTTAATCAAAGCTAAGCTATGCTAAGTGTTAAAAAGTGCTGGTGTCAAGTAATAGAAAATGTGTATACGTAGATTATGGCGTATATATGTACTTCGAAGTTTTTGGCATATTAACTTTGAAAATCTAATAAAAGATAATACTACAACATAAAATAACTGTCTTAACGTTAGGAAACAATAATTACGATAATACGATAATTTATTTCGATTAGTCCCGAATTTAAGAATTACTTTTCAGCGGTAAAATGACAGTATAAATAGTAATTGATATGTGAAATGCACAAGATACAGACAGAAAGTATTCAATCGAAAGAGATAGAAAGACAGATGGAGCAAGAAAACTTGGAAAACTAAAAGGGCAGAGAAAGAGCAATATAGCTGTGTCTTTACATTCAATTTGTCTAATTCAATTTTTAAAATAATCTACAAAATCAATCTGTAATGTGAAAAATTGCAGTAGGCAAAAGCAACAATAGCTAATACTCTGCCTACCTAGCTGCAACTGTTTCACTTAAAGGATATTTACATTCGTTAGCGCTTTTCATTTATTAAATCCGATTAATTAGTCTTAGAACCACAAAGATAAGAGCTTCGGATTGCCGAATATTGTACTCGCATTTAAAACAACAAAAATTTTGTTCGACACTTCACTCTTAAAAAACTTTCATGCCTATTATTACTTTAATATATGTTTTATATACATACATACATGTATATAAATATATATATAGTACAAATATATATATATTTTAATAGGAATCTCTGACTTGAAAAACTTTAAAACGGTACTGTGTACAGTCTAAAAGTTACCTACTAATAGAAAAAACAAATAAAATGAACATTTAAATTAACATTTAAATTACGAATAGTAAAACAATAATTAAAAATTAAAATAGTCTAAGCAGCAAAAATACCCATATATTTTTTGATTAAGACTATAACTAGATCGATCGATCAGTTGGGACTTGCATCTACTTGTCCGAAATTGCCATGTTCTATATTGGACATATTTTAAATAATATATTGTAAATTGATTGGAACGAAGCCTTTCACACCTTCCTTTAATGACTCCGTAGAATTTTAAGGAAAATCAACCTTAAAACTAAAACAAAGACATATTCTTGTACGTATTCATTGTCAGCGTCTTAAATAAAAATTAATAAAAACATACCAAAATAGTTGTGTGAAATATGAATCAGATAGCATATAAAATACCCATGTAATGTAACATTTGTGATAAATGTATACAAATATAAATATAACAAAATCTAAATTATAAAAAATAAAAAGAAATTTAAAAAAATAATTTTGATCCTCTTTTTGTAACCAAATGGTTGAGTTTTAATTTTTCACTTTATGTAACTGCTTATTTGGATATGACACTTACTTGAGTTTGCAAGCGAGTAAGACCACGAATCCAGAGAATTTGTCCAGCTCTTGGTTTTTTGTCGGAATCAATTGAATCGAAACGTTCTTCGCCCAAGTTCATGGCATCTGTGTATTCCTCAGGATGGCCTCGACCCCATCTAAAACATAACGAATACTTAAATAAGTATATGGCTTGAGAAGCTTAAGCTACGTAGTACACTATTTAAAAGCGGAAAACTTCGATTTGAACCCCGCTGAGTTGAATGGGGAACCAGTTAAGGTATTTTAAAATAAATATAAATTGTTAATACAACTATGTATTTAAGAATTTGCTGATTAATTTTCAAAACGAAATTGTAATTAGTTTCGGTGAAATGAGCATTTAAATAAACATTCTTCCATTCAGAGCCGAAGGACACGATATTTTCAAATACACGAAACTACTTTTATTCATTGACGGACGAATCGATCTGAATTTTTGCTGAACATTCTTTGTTTAAGTACAAAGAATATGGAAAAACTCTGGAATAAAATTATTTAGTAAATACATATTCTATGTAAGAAATGTGAAAAAAAAATAATATAAAAACATGTCTGTGTTTTAACAATTTTAAGACATCAGAGTTTGGAATATATTTTTCAAAAACATGTTGTTATATAAAAACAAGAAAGAGCGCTATAGTCGAGTTCCCCGACTTTTATATACCCGTTACTCATATAACTAACTTCAACCTAAGTATTTCCCCCACAAAACAATCGAAGCTTAGGTGGCGCCATCTGACAAACTGCAGAGCCAACACTAGAAGCTAAGAGCGTGCAGAACCCCCACCCCCCCGCTAACAGTTCTGTAATTCTCTCTCCTCTCTCTTTTCTTTCTCTCATCTGCTAGCAACGGCCGATCAGAGGCCAAGCAGCTGCAGAGGGGTGGCAGAGGGGCGGCAGAGGGGCGGCAGAGGGGCGGCAGAGAACTTCATAAGCCCCATAACTCCATAGCTGATTTATGGGTCTACCGAAAGATATGACCGAAACGCACACACAACAACAACCCCAACCTTCTAACATGTCTCAGATTGACAGTACATACTTTCACGATTTGTGGGCGTTTGAGCGTTTTGAAATAAATTTGCACATAAAATGTATTCGGCTGTAACTTTTAAACGCAAAGAGCTATCTGAAAAATTGTAATGACTAATAACAGATTAATATATTTAGTATAATAAAGGAACATCGTTTATTTCATTAAAATTGTTTAATTTATTTTATAATTTATTTTAAAAAAATACTAGATACTTTTTGGTCAAAGCTTATTTGATGCGAGATCTTGTAAACGCTTTTGCGCAACCATGTTTTGTCGTGTTTTTTAAGACTGTTTTTATACCCTTGCAGAGGGTATTATAATTTCAGTCAGAAGTTTGCAACGCAGTGAAGGAGACATCTCCGACCCTATAAAGTATATATATTCTTGATCAGCATCACTAGGCGAGTCGATCTAGCCATGTCCGTCTGTCCGTCTGTCCGTCCGTTTATATGCAAACTAGTCTCTCAGTTTTAAAGCTATCTGCATGAAACTTTCCCAAAAGTTGTCTTTCTATTGCAGGTAGTATATAAGTCGGAACGAGCCGGATCGGACGACTATAGCATATAGCTCCCATAGGAACAATCGGAAAAATAAATGAAAAAAAATTATAACTTTGCTGTTTTTTAATTTTTTGTTTAGTTCTTCGACATATAGCAATGGTTAAATATTTCAGAATTATGGTTTAAATTTCATCAAAATCGGACGACTATAGCATATAGCTCCCATAGGAACAATCGGAAAAATAATTGAAAAAAAATTATAACTTTGCTGTTTTTTAATTTTTTGTTTTGTTCTTCGACATAAAGCAATGGTTAAATATTTCAGAATTATGGTAAAAATTTCATCAAAATCGGACGACTATAGCATATAGCTCCCATAGGAACAATCGGAAAAATAAATGAAAAAAAATTATAACTTTTCTGTTTTTTAATTTTTTGTTTAGTTCTTCGACATTTAGTAATGGTTAAATATTTTCGATTTACGGTTTAAATCATATAGCTCCCATAGGAACAATAAAAATATATAAAATAACTATCAAATAATTGAGCTGCAAATCATCATAGCTTCAATGTTTTTAAACTTATACGCAAGTAAATTATAATTTTAATGTTTTCAAAAATGTTTAATTCTTGCAATAGCTGCAAGGGTATATGAACTTCGGCTTGCCGAAGTTTGCTTTCTTTCTTGTTTATAGTTGTTTTTCCGTTGAATTCGCTTGCTGTTCCCGCTTAAGTTTTTTTTTTTAAATTTTGCTCTTTAACTTGAAGACAAAGACAAATATAAAAAATGGGTCCTCGCACATCAATTGAGAAGCGTGAATTAGTCCTATAACATTTCAAAATTGGGGTCTCCCAACGCGGATTTGCCAAAATTATGGATTTGAGTCCGTCTACTGTTCAGCATATAATTGAACGCTACGTTCACGAAAATCGTCTCGAAAATATGGGCAGAAACGCACCGAATAAGATTTTCCACGCTTAATAGTGAGAAAAACTAAAGAAAACCCCAGGCTGTCAGCACTGTCAGCAAACTTACTGAACAGATACCCCAAGAGCTAAGTAAGTCATCACGACTTTAATGGTCGAGTAGCCAGGAACAAACCCTTTATAGGCAGAAAGAATCAAGTTGCTCGACTGAACTTCGCTAAGGAACACATTTCTAAATCATCTGACTACTGGAATACTGTTATTTTCGCAGATGAGTCGAAACTCGACTGGCGAAAGCCAAATACCGATAAGCATGGAGGAGGAAGCGTCATGGTTTGGGCCTGTATGTCGGCAGCCGGTGTGGGGAATTTGGTGTTTATCGAGGACATAATGGACAAAACATGTACCTTGTCATACTGAAGAAAAATTTGCTTCAAAGTGCTGAGAAGCTTCAAATCCGTGATTGTTTTAGGTACTACCAGGATAAAGACAACAAGCACAAAGCCTCAATTGTGCAGTATTGGCTGGTATATAACTGTCCTCCAGAAACGACAAAGAAACTGGTGTTTTGTTTTTTGTTATATTAACCCATTGACTTCTTCGTATGAACTAGATATGTAAATCTATTATTAGCCATTAATTTTTAAGATAGCTCCTAGCGTTTAAAATTTGCAGCCGAATACATTTTTGAATGGGCTCTGCATCAAATAAGCTGTGAGCCACTGTAACTTGAAAGAAGAGTATCCAAAAGGTACACACAGCGTCAGTTGGACGTAATTGTGTGCACCCCGGCCAGAAAAAGGCTTGGTCATGTTTTGTCCATGGGCTAGTCTTCCTGCTAGCAAAAGAACACTCCTTTTAGATGTTCTCAATCCGAAAAGTTCTCAAGAGCAAATATTCTAAAAATCTCCAATTTAAATCTTTAAAAAAAAACATACAAAACTCTTCACACTGGCGCAGAAAACCAGTAGACCAGCTTAGATTGGCACCCACAAGTCAACTCCTTTTAAGGCAGTGTCAGCACAAGCCTGAAGGTCAAAACCAAACGCCAGGGTCGTCAACATGCATGATTCTATAAAAGCTACAGTAAGTTGACTCAAAAAACTTATCCCTTGACCTTGATTAAAATCAGTTGACAATATCCTTCCCATGGCTGTCACATACCATATACCGAGCGGTTCCAATTCTAATTCTTACAGTCTCAATATCCTGCTTAAAAAGTGTATGCATACATCTGGTTTTTTGGTTACAAAATGTTTTGTTTTTTTTCATTTCTGATCCCTCCCTTAACTGCAAGGGTGTTAAAACTTCAGTCCGCCGGAGAAAGCTCTCGATTTTAAATAGCTCAGCATAGAGGCCTACAGATGGGAATGTGATGAGTTTATCTGAAATGCAGATCCGCCTTCTTAAACTTTATCGCTTTACTACTGTCGGAAACTATCAGCATTAAAAACAACAAACAATAAGAAAAAACAGCTGGCAAACGAAACGGCTGCGTGGTCAATAATTATCAATAATTTGCTCCCGCCTAATTTAAAAAAGGTTATTTTATTATAAATCTGTATTCATTGCACTCAGAACTTCTACCACACCAGAATGAGTCTTTTGACCTTGGCGTCTTCTTGACAATAGTTTTAGTTTTGCTGAGCACATCAATTATATCATACCAATGGCTTATGCTATGTTTTGGGTTTGTGAGACGAAGTAGTTAGCACTTTGAGCCTTATACTAAACCTGTACTTTTCTCGGCATTTGTGCACTCTAAATTAGGTTATATCTCCTTCATATGAGGGCTATGAACGTACGGTTACTACTCCCGTCAAGAATACTGAAGGCGTTAAAAAAATTCCTCAAGTTTGCTCATTTTCAACTAACTTTGCGAACCCATCATATGCAGTACCGCAGAAAAATTTCACGTTTTGCCTTTCCTAGTTTGCTTAGTTGCTTTCTAATGTGGACTTTTGTGTGCCAGGCTTAAATTTACGGTCTTATGAACCTTTATTAAAAATTGTACGACTAATAATGATACTACTTGTCCAATTCTTAGGTTATATAATGCCTTGTCAACTAGCATGCGGCTTAACACTAGCTTGAACAAGCTATTAGCGATTAAATATTTATTAGCTTGTAATTTGAAGTTTTAAGGCATATAGATGAATAAACAAATAAATAAAAAAAAAAACAAATACATAAAAAAAAAACAAATAATTAAACAACAACGAAATTCTCCGCAGTTCAGACTTACAATACGATCTTAATGCCTTGTTGTGATAATCCTTTGCATTATTTTAACTCAGCTCACAGTATATGTGGCATTGCGATAAGAGGTTGTGTGTTGACTAGAAACAAGCATCTTAATTGCTTTGGGGTGATTCTGGACCAAAACTGAAGTTTCATGGGCAGTGCTTGGATTGTAAAAAAGCCTTTAACTTTCTTAATTTCATTTAAACGTTGACCACTTTTGAGTCCCCAATAAAATACACTTCACTAGTATACCACGGTACCTAAACGGCTACCTTAGTCAAATAGATTTTTTCTTATTAGTTCATTTGTAAACTACATTTGATATCAAGTGTTCCCTGTCCCACAGAATCTCAATATCAAAGGAAACAATTAAGCAAAAACAAGAAAGAAATCCAGCATGAGCAGGCCGAAGCTATTATAAAAACAATAGGTATCATCCAGACAGCTTTGAAGCTGAGAGAATAGATTGCCTAGAAACGGACAGTCAGATTATCTCTGCAAATAATACTACAAGAATGTTTTTTTTTTTTTTGGGTCAGAAATGTCTCCTACGTCTTTATCGCAAACTTTTAACATAAATTAGAAGTTACATCCAATATATATACACACTCATTGTTCGGACGGAGGAAACTTACTTTGTTACGTGGTTATATGTTGGCAGTTATTTGCTAACCTTAACTAATAAACTAACAAGTGCAAAAAATTTATCTTTTGACTAAGCGATTAAATTATAGATAATAGGGTTAAAGGGTAAAGGGTATTGTGCTTTTCCTAAACAAAGGCGGTCTAATTGTGGAAAAATTGTGGAAAAATTCAATTTTAAAAATTTCATTTCATATGAAAATACATATTAAGGAAAAACACATTAAAATACTTAAAAATACTTACATGACATAAATATAGCTTATCTTATATCCCGATTGAAATAATGGTATTTCAAATACCTACTAACCGTTTTGAAATTTTCTTTTTAAAAAATTTTCTTGTAAATATATCCTTCCTAATTATTTTTTAAGAAGGGACTCTTTTAAGCAGTTTATTTATTTTGGCTGGAAATTATAAATATAGAACTATATTTAAAATACTATAATACATGCATTTTTTCATAATAATCATTAAAAAGTATAAATTTATAGCCAAAGTAATGAATAAATACAATTAGAAATACATATTGATGTTTTAGTTAACCAGAGCCTTAAATCTTAAGAATAACGAGCACTGAGTTAATAAATAGACTACACTTATAATGTTTCATTTCATTTCCGACTTATATATATTAAACGTACTAGTGTATGCTTTAACCAATGTCCATTTGTAAGCGGGTGTTTAGTATTTAAAAGCGGAATAACATTAAACATTTACTCACGATAATATCTTAGGTAATTTTCTTGTAGGCACTGACGTAATCAATTGACCCCAGACCAGTGTACCAATTCCAAAAAATATGCACCAGAGCCATTGGTCTAATGACAGGGCCTTGGTCGAGAAAGCCATTTTTCCATATTGAATGATTAACACCTTAAAAAAGACACAAAAATATTTATTTGTATTATATGTATATGTTCTTGAATTTAGAAAGTCTTACCTGTGATATCATGGTGAATATCCAAATGGTGTAAAATATGGGGTTTGTAAGAAGACCTTCAATTACGTTGCGCTGTCCATGAATTTTTCGAGCGTTTATTTCATTAAACAATGTCATCATGACAAATGTGTTAAATATAATTGTAAAGTGCTGTGTTGGGCCAGCGTTGAGTTCCTGCCCTCGTCCAGATTCAATATCAAGGATTAAATCACCTAAAACGCGGTTAAGTTTAATGTTATGTAAAAAGAAAAGGCAATGTTTAATATTACTTACCGACAAAGAGTAATCCAAATATAATAACCAACTGATAAAGCGCCTGACCCAAAATGTTTTTCATCATTGTGCGAGAAATTAAGGGTTTTGTGCGGCCATAGGGTTTGCGGAGCAATAGATCTGGTGTTGGAAACTCTGTTGCCAATGCAAGTGATGCCAATGTGTCCATTATTAGGTTTACCCACAACATCTGGACTGCCTATAATTTTATTTTTATTTTTGAGTTGTTCTCTAAAAAGATTTCCTTAAGAAACTTACCTTAAGCGGAGAATCTTGCACGGCACACGCACCAATAAATGCTACAATTACAGCGACTACATTGACTGTTAACTGAAACTGCAAAAACTTTGCAATGGAGTCATATACGTTTCGTCCCCACATTACAGCTTTGACAATGCTGCTAAAGTTATCGTCAGTCAATATAATATCAGAAGCTTCCTTGGCAACGTCTGTTCCGGCAATACCCATAGCGAAGCCCACATCGGCTTTTTTGAGAGCTGGGCCATCATTTGTTCCGTCGCCAGTTACAGCAACCACTTCGCGGTTTTCACTAACAGTGCTGTCAATGATACCTTTAAATATAAGAAAATTAGGGAAATTAGGGAATAAATAGTTTTTACTTTTTTTCGTAAACTCGTTGTAAAATAAATAGTTTTTACTTTTTTTCCTAAGCTTGTTGTAAAACCAGATTTTAGAATTAGTTTTGCTTGCTTGTTGTTTAGAAAACTTGGCTGCTTGCTAAAAAATAAAATGGTCAAAGTATTACACCTCGAACTTCTATAAGTCAAAGTGTTCACGAAATTAAGAGCAAAATATGGAAATAAGAAAACTTCGGCTGGCTGACGCCTTGCAGCTATTACAGAAATCCAATATTCCAAAAACGACTTTATTTCGATATTTATGTTATGTTCAAAACAATGAATTTAGGTGTTTAGGTCAGGGCCGAAACAGAAACAGTACAAGAAAAATATCACTGGCTCTGCTCTCATCTCGTTCTCAATTTGTTTCTATCGCTACTTTTAACGCAGAGCACAGAAGTACATTTTTTGCTGTTGAGCAAAGCAGAACACTTACATTTTCGTTGTTCTGCATTCGTATTATTTAAGTTAACATTTAAAAGAAAAGGATGACAACAAACCTTTAACCAAAGTATACTTGTCAGTTGGAGATGAACGAGCTAGAACCCGCAATTTCGGCCATACTTTATCAATCAGATGTTGCTGAATCTGGTAGTTAAAGTAAAACAATAAAACGTTAGAACTGAGCCGAACAACAAAAGGTATAAAAACGTACATCTCCGTTGCTATCCCGAATACGCCTGTTAAATTCTTTGCCTTCCAGAATAAGAAAGTCATCATTGGGGCGCAAAATACCGCACTTGCTTGCAATCGAACGTGCCGTATTAATGTTGTCTCCAGTGACCATGCGCACGGTAATACCAGCGCGTTGGCATTTTCGAATAGCGTCTGGTACTTCGGGACGAACTGGATCTTCTATGCCAACCACACAGAGGCAGGTAAGATTCGTCATAATGTTTTCCTCGTCGTCCCAGTTAGGTTCACCATCAATATGAACTTCATTGATTGCGGCTTTGCCAGGCACAAAGTCACGATATGCCACAGATATGGTGCGCAGACCGTCACAAGCCATTGGTTCAATAACTTCACGAATTAGACGCTCTTGCATATCTCTTGTAAACTTTTCCAAATTGCCTTCATGGCCATATATAAAAGCACATCTACAAGAATCAAATAAAGTTATAAATATGTTTTTGTTTTAACGAATGATACGAACTTTTTCATAATGATTTCTGAAGCTCCTTTAGTGTACAGCCTATATCCTCCATTGGGACGCGGTATTACAGTTCCCATACTCTTGCGAACCGAATTAAAAGTATACACTCGGGTAAATTTATCCTCTGTAATCTCATCTCGAATAGATTGGTACTTGACACCTAGTCCCTGGACAAAGCCCAAGAGAGCACACTCTGTTTTGTTTCCAACTTGGATTGGTAAGTCTCCCGGGTTGTGCCCGCTCTTTTCGATTTAAAAGAAATAAAAATATATTAATACCAAGCGGGCTTCAAATCAAAAACTAAAAATTACCATTATATTTGAAGTGTACGCCGAATTAACAGATATTCCCATTGTGATCAAATTGCCCACATGTTGGGGAATATCGCTAAGGGTGGGCAAAACTTTGCACAGTTTCTCGCAGATGTAAGACTGTACAACAGTCATACGATTGGTTGTAAGAGTTCCAGTCTTATCAGAGCAAATGGCAGTGGCATTACCCATTGTTTCACACGCATCCAAATGTCTCACCAAATTATTGTCCTTCATCATTTTCTGTAAAAATATGTATGCAAGTTTAAGTAAATGCGAGCCAATTAACGTTTTATCTCTTGAAAACCAACTAACCTTTACAGAATATGCTAGGGATAAGGTTACAGCCAGAGGAAGTCCCTCTGGTACAGCCACTACTAATACTGTGACACCAATAATCAAGTGTTTCACCAAGTTATTGGCATAGGTGTTTTTCCAAGGTTTCTCGTCAATAACAAAGGTTTTAATACAAAACTGAATAATCAGAATTATAACTGTGAGTACGGCAATGGTCGATCCAGCGTATCCAATCTGTATAGCTAACTTTGTCAGCTTTGCCTGCAGCACAGATTTCTCTTTTTTATGTCCTGTCTCAGCAGCTGCGGATGTCGAGGAAGATTGCGGGACATGATTTCCCTCAGATTCAGACTTGGTCCCTTCGCTGGAGACTGTTTGACGTTGATTTTGGGCTTGCGTACCCTTCGTTTGCGCTCGACCGTCGCCTTCACCTGCATCGTGCGAAAAAAATTGTTTTAAATAAAAAAAACAAGCTAACTAGGCAACAAATAATCGTGGGGTAGGTGTTTCATAACAAATAAAATATTTTAACATCAAGCCTGTGCTTCTTGTTCCTAATTGAATACTGGCTAAACAAAATAGAAGCTCGATTTATTTTCACTTTGCAGGATACATATACAACCATATAGTGTACATATCTAGATTCTTGACTAGGAAAAACTCCATATAGTTTGAAGTCGAAACAGCTGAAAGTGGCACATGGTATCATAAGCGCCATAGAACGTAAGTAAACCCTGCATTCCAAATCTGCCTGATTAAAAGGCGACTTCGACCGCAATTTTAATACATTAAGAGTTATTTAAACCATTAGCCCTGCCAAAAGCCATGGCTGCTATCCCTTACTGTAGCTTAAGTTTTTAACTTAAAGGTTACAGTTTGTTAATAAATAAACCATAAGCCAGGTTTACGACGTCGCAGCACAATTCCCTATTTGTGAACCACATTTGCGAAAAACAAGTAAACACATGTTATTTGTACCGAAACTTTCTACTCTTTTTTATATTGCAATAGGATCAATCGGAAAATGAATTCTAAAAAATATAGCGTCTTTGTTATTAAACATATCCACAAAGAACTCGAGGACTATTTTGTCTGATTTAGGAAAAAGGTTTCATAGACACTGATTCAATATTATAAATAGGAACTGGTGCAATAAGGGTAAATGAAATACATTTATGCTTTGACTGCAGGAATATATATATATATACGTCATATCACCGATGTTAGCTTTCGCTGCTAGTAATGGGCCTGTGATATAAATATTCTTTCATAATTTATCTTTTGTTAATGCCGTATCAAATGGCTAATACGTTGTTTTCCTTTAAGCAATCGCACTAAAAAATAGTATTTTACTAAAACAAATCTCCATTGCACAGAAAATTCTTGACTAAAATTATTATTATTATTCTTAAAATGATGGTGAACAATTTTATTAACTAACTACCATATGAACTCTCGGAATAAGTATTACCAATAATCTAACTTTACTGTTTCTAAAAATATACGCCCGTGCGTATATTGTCTAGGAAAAGTAGGAAAAGTTTAATTTTGGTTATGTCTGAAATGGTATAGAAAATATTTTTTACAACTTTCTGATCATTTATTTTACGATAACAATTTTTTCCGCACAGGGGAAAAAATGTAAACTGAAACCGTTTAAGTCCCTTATACACCGGAAAAACAGTTCAGTTGCCAAAGACCATGAAACCAATACAGCGACTTTTTCTTAATGGTCACTCTTATTTCAGATAAAAAAAATCAACCGGTTAATTTTAAATTTGGCAAACATTTTGGCAAATTTCACTTTTTCCTTAAAAATTCTCAAAAACCATGTCTAAATTTGTAAACTAAACATCAGAGCTAAGCTGGTTGAGATTTGGTTAAATTTATAAATATATAACAGAAACTTTGATTTAAACAGCAAAACGTCTTTTTTAGAAGACCTTCCTAGAAAAATCAATGTCCCTAAGATGTTTGCCGATAGAATCGAATACAAAAATTAATGGATGTAATTTAATTAACTATTTTAATTAGCAACATTTCATTGCTATAAACTTGAGGTATTTTAAAGTAAATAAATTATTGATGTATAAAATATTAAAATATAGGCAAAACATAAATATTCGCTTCAAAAATATTTTTGGTATACAAATAATAAATATCAATATTACGCTTGAATTCACCTGTCAAACTCTTTTGCTTGTTGGCCTTTTTGGCTTCTGAATATCAACAATGATATAAACATTTAATGTTTCCGTTTCGTTTATATTTTGGTTTAGATTGAAGATATTGATTGGTTGTTTTGTGGTAGGTTGTGGTCGCAGGTTTTATTTGGTAGGTTGGTTGGTTGATTGGGTAGATGAAGGATGATGGGTCAATCAATTCACATCATGCAATTCACATATGACAATTGGGATATGTAAAAATAGCAAAAAAAAAATAATAATAAATAAATAAATATATGTATAATATACACCTTTTAAACAATTAATATGTTTTATAATAACGCCGTTTGAACATTATTTATTTAATAACATTTCACAAAGCGTTTGGATTATGTTGAAGTATTTCATCAAACTCATATTTAGCATTGCTTTGTTCGTACTCACCCTTTTTCATCTTTTTAATTTCAGCTTCCTGCTCATCAACTGCCGCACCAAGAAGCGTAAAAATTATGCCGGCCTGAGAGTTAACCCCTACGGCGGTAACGACCATTTTGCCACTGCCTTCCATAACATGCGTGCCGGAAAGAACCATGGGATCAACGTCTGCTCCCTTTTTGACATGGTCTGATTCACCAGTTAACGAAGATTCGTCCACCTGCAGAGCAAACCATAATCTTTATAAACTAAATGATTAGGTTTTTGTATTTTTTTTATTATTTAATGCCCTTCCAATCGTAGAAACAAATCAGTACTGGCTTTTTTTGTCTTTGAAACGTGTGTTCCAGTAGTAAATATTGGTACGAGACGAACAATAATTCCCATAAACTTGCTTCATATATTGGTATATTTCAATAAATTAAATATTGGGTGTATTTCATAAAGCTGTCACAGAACATGAATAAAAAAACCGGCATAGCTCTGTTGCTTTTAAACAAAATCGATAGTATTGATTTCAGATATGCGGTTCGTTTTTCCATACATTTTTTGTAAAAGCTGATCGTCATCGGAAGAGTTGCCCGTTTAGCATAGGCAAAATGTATGGATTAAATGCGGTATTCATTCAAAATATACCACGAGTCGGCTATATCGGTGTTCTACTTTTAACATACCTTTAGGTCGTTGCTTTGAATAAGACAACCATCTGCTGGCAATAAGTCTCCATATTTGACCTGAGCAATATCGCCAACCAGAATGTCTCCAACAGAAATTTGGCACACTTCCCCTCCTCGGATTACAGAAAACTTGTGCTCGCCCTCAATACGGTTCTGCAGTCCTCGGAATTGTCTTTCTTTTGAGTAATCATTAAAGGCTGTCACTATAACTACGACAATAACAGAAATAAGAATGGCCAATCCTTCAATCCACCCATGGTGTTCCTCCTCCTCTTGTAGCACAGCTGTTAATTAGAATATAGCCTTGTAGTATAGAATTCCGATACAGCCCAATTTAGCAGTCAGATTTAATTTACTTACGCGCGTCCTCGTCGGCGGGTTTATAAAATGATAGACCGAGAGATACTAATGCAGCTACCTCTAAAATAATAAGTGTTACATCCTGAAGAGCCTCCCAGACTAGTGTCAAAAAGGTTTTTGGTGGCTTCGGTGGTATTACATTTGAACCGAACGTTTCGCGCCTGTGTTCCTCGTCAGCTGTCGAGCCACTTAGACCTAAAGTAGGAACACTTGCGTTATTAAATTGAATAAATGTTGTAAATGGAGCCAAACTTTCCTTCATTGGGAGATGTGTATAACTTTTTACATATTTCATGAATACCACCAAATTCAGCTATCTTCATTACACCTTCACGACCGCGGTGCTCCATGAGCTCGCGCAGTTGTTTAAGTGATATACCATATTGCGCCGGTCTTCCATCTATAGTGGCCATTTGTTATGGTCTACTCTGTAAGTGAAAGCAAGTTTAATCAAGATTTTGTAAAAACTTATCAGCCTTGTGTGGCAAAAGTTCCGTAAAAAGTTAGAAAACCCATTTTTTGCGTTGCGATCTATATATACAAAAATTGTTGTTGTCTACCTACATGTGATCGTATTTCTATTCTAAGCTTTCCTAAAAATTGTTCCTCGAAATCAGCATCATATACCGCTGTTAAAGATACGACTCATGGGAAAATTTAAAAGAGGATTGAACGATTTGTACGATTTACAGAGCAACTTTGTAGGGATGGTCTTAATCTATGGTTTCTAAGTGATTTAAATTTGATTTAAAAAAGCTATGCAAGCTACATAAATTGTTAGAAATTACTATATCTCGGAGTCGCAAATGTTAAGAAACAACAAAGTTATACTTTTATATTCTTTACTATTAATTATATTCATATATATTCATACATATATATATTTATATGTATTATACAGTATACCGATCCGCTCCGTACTGACTTATATACTACCTAGAATAGAAATAAAAATTTTGAAAAAAATTATCCAGACATCTTTGAAACTGGAAAATTTTTTTTTCTACAACTGGCATGTCAAGATCTCGCCTGGTGATGCTTATTAAGATTAAATATATATAATATATATAAATTATATGCTTGAAAATGTCTCATTTACTGAATTTCAAAATTTTAACATAAATTATTATATCCTCAACAAGGGGATACAAATTTTCCTGAAGTTGTCACCATAAATGTGTGATCGCAAAAACACCTGAAATTTTGATTATTTTGAAGTGTATATTTTGTGTCAAAATAACTTGTCAAACTAATAAACAGTACGAACTGGAATTATCTTTTAAAAAAATGTAATTTTTGGTTCGACTAGTATCTAAGAAAACACTTTTGTGACGCATTATTGACCCGTTCAAGATAACGGTATGACTGCATAAAGTGTCGTAAATACGTATCTAGCTGAAAGTAGATTGATCCAAGTACGCTCGACCACAAAAAAATTTATATTTTTATACACTGATAATCTTTCAACCTGATAAAACACAATGACGTCAAAATACCAGTAAAAACTAATTCGGACCAAACTAATTTAAACACATGGTAAACGACTGTGTTCACGAAAATAACTTTAGCGATTAATTATGTTTTTTTTTTACTCAACGTTAAATCGCTACCAATAGACGATAATTGATATTAAATTCCTTTAATGGCCGGTTTCTTGAGATCCATTTAATGTCTCGACCAGGCAAGAGCAAACCGTTTTTTCGGATGTAATTTATTTAAATGAGAAACAACAAGCATTAAAAAGCACAATGGTTGTTTTGAATTGCAAAAAAATAAAAATGTCTCTAATTTTTTATCTGACCATGAAATCAGCCATTTTTCTAGTGGACCAAAAGACTTGACAGGAATTCCTGGACCTTGTAAGTGATTTTATCTGTCAAAAAATGTAAACAATTTGCATATTTGTATAATGGCCTATGTATAAAGTAAAAATAATCGGATGCCCGGTGTAAAAACACTATGATGCCAAGATATATAGCTGCGGCAACTAAAAATTTTTTATGTTGTAAACTACAAATATAAATGTGGTCGAAATATTCATGAACGTCCCATGATCATTTATTATTACTACCTCCTTTCTTTTAAATATTCAAATTCTCGTTTTAATATTTTAAAAGAACAAAAAGCTTCAAAATGTATGATTCTTTTAGCAAAGCAATAAACAAAATCATTTTCATACGAACATACATGTGTATTTGGGAAAGAAAAAACAAACAAAACGTACATTTAAACTTGAAAGGGTACTACTATTTTATTGATCACAGCTGTGAAAGAACTGAACTTCTATCAGAGTGATGAGGTATGAACGTCTTCCATAAATAGATATACACGCATTTATACGTCTGTAAGAACACCTACTGGTGCACGATTTCGAATGTATTTGAGTTTGATTCGGCCATATCATATTTGGACCATCGGCACAAATTCCTGCACATGCAAACATTACACGCTAAGCGCGTACGAAGGGTATTTTTTCTACATATTACAAGTGTAATACTTATGTGTAAATATATGTTGGTGGATTGTTTTGCATGTATACAAGTATACCACGCCTTGTAACAAATGAATCATAGTATTTAATACAGTTTCATACAGTGTTTTTCCCGTCCAAACACCACACAGAATTAATATTTATTTTATATCCATACACTCAAGTTTTGGGTAAAGGAATTAGACATCAATGCTCCACATTCAGGAATCTTACGTCATACGTCATGACATGAGCTACATACATATTTGCACTTGTATTGGCCACATTGGCAATGGAATAAGATATACATATGCATGGGGAACCTTCAAGCAAGAGCACATTATACACACTAATGTATTGATTCTGACGCTGTTTTCGATGATATCAGTCAATATTTAACATTGCAAACAGATAAATCAGAGATTCTCTCAATGCTTGGATATTCTTACAAAGAGTATGATATCACTAAGTTTGCTGACGATATTATACATCCAAAACTCCTTGCATTAACATATGCCCCAATTTTATTTAACTTTCAACTTTACATTAGCATACAATACATACACAATTAGTAGTTGTTTTAGTTTCACACGACGAAATGTAACAAAATATTTTATCTAAATTTATGACACTCCGTTTTTCAGCAATATTTATACTCGACAGAGGGAAATATCGATACATCAAAATGTAACACTATCGAAAGGTTTCTCCTTGTCAACAAAATGTAAACTTATTAATCGATATATCGGCACAGTGCACTAGCTAAATAATGAACTTTTTTTAATGTAGCCTATGCAACAATCTTAGTCGCAGCAGTATTTAGTTTTTTTGGTTTCACCTTGATTTTTTTCGTATTAACTGGCTACGAAGCGGTCTTGCCTGCGTATGAGAACACAACGGACTGAGGTATCATGCTTAACGCGAAAGAGCTATTTGTAGAAGTTGTGAACCGTTTTCAAAAGTATCTGACAGATAGCAGTCCAGCTGTTTGTCTTGATTATCGCAGTTATCAACTTATCAATTGTTTGACTTTATTACGCTAGCACTGCGGCGTCCATCTACCTGAGAGATAAGAAGCATACACATTTTAGTACACTCGCAGAAAATGTTTGAGCTTAGCAGAAAGCTAGAAAATGGTTTAAAATAATTGTGAGTATTAATTGAAAAACCCTTGCAGGAGGGTATTATAATTTCAGTCAGAAGTTTCCAACACAGTGAAGGATATTTTTTTCGACCCCATTAGTATAGACACATGTACATTCTTGATCAGCATCACTGCTGTATGTCCGACCGTCCGTGTGTCCGTTTCATCGCAAGCTAGTCTCTCAGTTTTAAATATATCTGCATGAAACATTGTCTTTTAATCAGTGTTGGGAAAGGTACTACTCTTATGGATATAGGTAAGGTACAAGGTATTTGAGTAAAAAAGTATTTAGGTAAGGTAAAAGGTACACAATTAAGTAAGTATATGGTAATGTAAAAAGTACAACAGAGGTAAAAAAAATATTTTTTTTATTTTTTTTTACCTTTCATGAAGTTGTAGATGAATTATGATATTGTGTATATGCTCTGGCAATTAAGTCTTGTACATCTTGCATATGCGGTGAAACTAACTGTTCTTTAAGTTGCAGTCAGATTATGTTTTTATTATTTGCATATTGGCTAAAATAAATAAAACCAAATTCAAATTAGTGGTATCATGCTAATTTGAAAATCAATAAAAAAATAAATATATTTCAATACCTAAATGTCTAACATAGCATATTCTTAAGATCTTTACCTAGGTAATGTAAGGTAAGGTAATGTATAATGCATACATTTGTACCTAGGTACGCACCTTAGTACAAATATCTTGGTACACCCCAACACTGCTTTTAATGCCGGTAGTTTAACAGTCGAGCCTTAAATAGCTCCTATATGAAAAATTATTGAAAAACATTATACCTTGGCTGTTTTTAAATTTTTGTTTCATATTCTTTACTAGAGTATTTCCACAGAGATCCGTTGAGAGGATGGTCCATAAGGTTTTGCGGTTCCAAAGACTTCCTAGTTAGTACGCCGTTAAAATTTGACGGACTAACACATGCGATAGTTAGCCGATGTTTCTGCGGTGCAGCCCTCTTTCCACGCAATCCATCCCTGGAAAATCGTTGGGTTTTTGAAAAAAGTGAAACTCCGGTTTTCACAGAGCACACCCACCTTCAACCTTCCGATGATCTTAAAAGCTGTAGCTCATCAAAACATAAACAAAGATGGTGACTTTCTTTTGGTCTGTTTGGAAAGAGAGCATAAGATAAAGTATTGGGCGATTTAATCTAGTAGTTCCCATTCAAACAAGAAAAGAAGCCAATTTCGGCAAGTCGATGTTAATATACCGTTTTATTACAAAAATGAAATATTCTTTAAATGATCAATATTTCGATTTATATGCGTATACTCTATGTTCAATAACATTGAAGCTACAAATTAAACGATTTTTTTTTCCCGATTTGAATAAAATGAAAAGCGTAATCCTGAATTATTAAATTATTCCCATATCCAGAATAAATAAAAGCAAGAAAGGAAGCATACCTCCGAAGTTTATATACCTTTGCAGCTATGGAAAACCTTAATTTTCTAAAAAAAAATACATTTCGCTTTATATGCGTATAGTTTAAAAACATTGAAGCTATAACGATTTTCAGCTTAATTATTCGGTCGTTTCTATGGCTGATATATGATATCGTTTTCCGATTTGAAAAAATTAAAAGCGTAAATCTGAACTATCAAAATATTTCTATGTCTAAACGAATTTTTTTTTTTAAATTCAATAACGGCAGAAGTTAAATTTTTTTTATATTGATTGTTTCTATGGGAGCTCTTTGATGTACGCGTCCGGTTTTAATCAAATTTTAAACGTTATTCGGAAACATTACTATATCTCGAGAACAAAAAAAATATATATTCATATATTTTTCCGATTGTTCATATGAAACTATATACATATATTTCATTCTATCGAACTCTTTTCGAAGTACGTCTTCGGGCTCATATTTTATTTTAATGCTATGGATTAGTTGGCTTATATGTACACAAAAAAGAAGATGGCTGCCATGTCAATTCTAATTCTGTCGCGCGAAAACATTAAAGTTACACCCAAAAATCATCGGCTACATATCGGCTTTAAGCGTGCGGTTATAGCGTATTTCCACAGAGATCCATCCACCTTCCACCATCCGTTGATGGTCCATAAGAATTTGCAGTTCCAAAAACTTCCCAGTTAGTCCGCCGTTAAAATTTGACGAGCTTTGACGGACTAATTTATGCTATAATTAGCCGATGTTTCTGCGGTGGTCTTTCCACGCAGTCCTTCCCTGAAAAACCGTTGGGATTTTTGATTTCAGCTTATCTTAACAGCTGTAGCTCACCAAAACATAAACGACGATGGTTAACTTGTTGACTTTATTTACGCTTTGACGAGCAACAGCTGTTCAGATCAGCTGAAAACGGAAGGAGGAAGGTGGATGTGCTCTGTGGAAATCTGAGTTTCACATATGTTGAAAATTCCAACCGTTTCCAACGGATGGGCTGTGTGGAAAGACGGCATTAGGAACGTAAATTCTACCGTAAATTTTTTTTTTTTTGCCAAGGCAAAACCTTTCAAACCATCTTTGACAGAGATGGTGGATGGTGCTAATTGGGACTAGTCCATTAAAACATCAAACATTGGGTAGCTATAAATGAAAAAAAACTTATGTACAATTTCGATAACACTCCCCTTCCGCTATCGCAGGAGAGTATGTTTGCGAGCGTATGCTATTTTTGGTGAGCCGATTTCAATATCAATAATGAGACAAAAAAAAAATACCTTGTTATCGTAAATACATACATATACTGGTTAATAATAATGGTTCAGAAACCGGTTGTGTGCCCTGGATCAAAGCCAATGTCCGATAATTCTGCTTATGGCTCTTATTTCATTCATGTCCATATTTGTTCTGTGGGCTATATACCGTCCTCCCACAACGTTTAACCGCGGGAAACTGTTGGGATTTTTGACAAATGTAAAACTTCTATTTAGACAGAGCACATCAACCATCCGATAACAATTTTTCTGAACACCTGTGGCCCATCAAAACATAAAAAAGTCAAACAAGTCAACCTGCATTTAATAGCCTGATTCCATTTAGCATAACGCGCATTTATTTTCACAGGAAATCACATAAGGCTAAATACAGCATACATGCGATTAAAAATAATTCGCACCGAACATTTTTAGAAAAAAATACCGGAAAATACTGATTTTTAACGATATTTCGTTAGTTCCACCTCTATAGCAGCTGGGTTTTATGCAATGATGGCGCAACATTTGATTTCTTTTGAATATAAAATCTGTTTTGCGTAAAAATTACTGGAAACAATAGCAAGCGCAATAAATCCTGCTCGCAGGTCCAATGCATTACTGCTGTATCTCTGGCAGGAAAAAACTCCCACATAACCGGGGATCCTTCTTTTTTGTAGAAGTTTTGGTGCTCTCCTTTGCAAGCCCGTCAAACAACACCATCAGCTTTCCTTTCTTGTGGCCCAAGTTGGCAAATGCCTCGATATCATTATGGATGACCTACTGAGCACTGAAGATATCAGTGAACTTGCTTGTATTCATGATTTTAAATTCATTTCATATTGATTTGCGACAATTCAAAAGTAAACAAACCCAGAACAGTTGTTCGTTCCACTCACATGTCGGAGTAGCATAACCTAAATGCTAATGCGCCAATGAAATCAAGCACATATAAAAAGTCCACTAATGAGGCAATGGAATCAGGCTAATAATTTTGATGAGCCACAGGTGTTCGGATCAAACGCATTCAGCCTAAGGCACATTTATTTACACAAGGAATCCCATAAGGCTAATTGCCAAATTTAAAATGAATGCGATACGAAAAAGCTAAAAATATATTCGATAAAAAAATCATTAGCCCCGAACTTAAAAAAAAAAAAAAAATGGGAAAATACCGATATTAAACGATATTTTGTTCGTGCCACCACTAAAAACGCTGGTTTCTACATCCAAAGGTGACGCAATCTTTGATTTCTTTCGAATATAAAATCTATTTTGAATAAAAATGACTGGTCGTGGTCGTGGTCGCAGGTCCACAATGCTATACTGTTGGACCTCTGGCTGGAAAAAACTCAAACTTGTACGGGATTCTCTGTTTTTTTTTGAAATTGTGGATGTCTCCTAAGCAAATTCGTCAAACAACACCACCAGCTCCCATACCTTGTTCAAGTTGGCAAATGTCTCGGGCGCATTATGGCTGTCCTGCTGAGCATTAAAGATTTTGCGTAATCTTGCTCAAACTAACGATTTTTAATTAATTTCGTTTGGAGTTGCGTCAATTCATTCACAACAACAACATTCCATGTTCACAGCAACATTCCATGTTCACAACAACATTCTCATGTTGTTTTGCCAATGGAATCAGGCACATTTAAAAAGTCTATTAATGCAGCACTGGAATCAGGCTATAAAAAAAACTGCGTTTGGCCGCATACGCAGCCTAATGGTCATTTGGCCCTAATTAATGGTAACTTTGTCTACGTCTTAGTGGAATCTTCAAAGTGGGTTAAAAGCCTATTCAGCGACCAATTTCCGCTTCGCTGTTGCGAATTGTAGGCTGTAAATTCGGTTTCGATTCAG